TGACATTTTATGGCATGCTATACTATGACTTCTTTTTTGATATTTTAATGACATACTATACTATGACTTTTTTTTAATGACATTTTAATGACATACTATACTATGACTTTTTTTTAATGACATTTTAATGACATACTATACGATGACTTCTTTTTGTGACATTTTAATGACATACTATACTATGACTTTTTTAAAATGACAATTTAATGACATGGTATACTACGACTTTTTTCTTTTTTATGACATTTTAATGACATACTATACCATAACTTTTTTAATGACCTTTCTATGTCATACTATACTATGACCTTTTTCAATACCATGATTTCTTTTTAAATGACATTTTAATGGCATACTATACTATGAATTTTTTGAATGACATTTTAATGACATGCTATACTATGACTTTTTTGAATGACATTTTAATGACATACTATACTATGACTTTGTTAAATGATATTTTTTATTGCACACAATACTTAAAAACAACATCCAAAAACAATAACAAAAAAAAACAAAAAACTTTGCTCTAACATTCAGACACGTCTCCTACTACAATGACTGTAAACTCAAGACCAAAATGACGTCGTCATATTTTGGTTTTGACTGACATGTTTGCTTGATTAGCATTACCTGTTTTCTATTTCCTGCTTGTCAAAGAAAAATTACTTTACGTTCTCCTACGTAAGCTGAATCCCGCTAACGTGAAAGCACTCTTGTTTGTTAATCATTTCCACATTCTTCAGATTTGTTCAACATTAGTTCTGCTCCATATTTTGTTTCCCCACAGTCATTTACACCCCCTGCAATGCCACCAATCCCACATCCCACTGGGCCACAAATTGAAATGTAATGAAACAGTTTTTGATATTCATGTTTCCCAGAAGATAAATTAGATAGAGAAGCATAGCTTTATTCAAGCAATATGAAACTCAAACTTATATGTGTTTCAAACTATATTATTTCAATCCGACTCAGTTCGCGGTAAAAATCAAAAGTAGACTACAGAGAAACATCTGAAGGAAATTTCTTTACATTAGATGCATGGAGGTTAGTGCATGGGGGGTGTAATGCACACAGAGGTTCAGATCCTCAGAGCGCAGCATCTCTGTGTGGGCGTTCCAACAAACCAGCAGGGGTGCAGCAATATGGACTTTGAACACTGTAAGTACCCAAGAGTGAAGCTGAGCCCCTATGATGGTGGCTGACTGCACCATGTGTGCCTGACATGTACTTGTAAAAAAATAATTTCATACAAGCTACTTTGATAAATTAATTATTTTAAGGATCTACTTTCCCAAAGTTTTCAGGAGATAACGTGATTTATTACTAATTAGAAAGATAAAAGAGACTTCCTTGAGTGAAAGCTCCATTAGACACAAACAATTTGATCATTCCTTTAAAATCATAAAACCAATCTTACATACAGTTTGTTGAATTGTATGCTTGTCTGTAGACAAATTTGATATTTATGTTCACTGATCTGCTGTGCACACCAGCTTTCAAGACTGCAGTGCAAACAGTTATTTTGTCTATAATTACTACCAGGAAATGCTTTACAGGAAATGTCTTGGAACTTGAGACCATCTCCCTCAGAAACATGACCACATAGGTCATTTTTACATACAGAAATTATGACTCATATATATGCTTTTTTGTTAAGCAGAGGCTGGAGTGATTATTGAGGGAGCAAAGAAGGAAGTCCAACCTGGTCTCACTCTAAAGTCCTTGAAAAAATGACGCTTGGGCAATGACTTCCAGCGTACAGCACAGATGAAAAAAAGCCATCCTTTAACATTAGCATGATATGCAGTTGGTCAACGCCTGGCAGCATCACAAAGATTATGCAGCGTGACAACTACAACAGTTAAGGCGGCGGAAGTCCAAAAAGGGTGGGTGGGAGGAGTGGTGAATGAGTCCAACAACCACCAACCTTCGCCTCCTGCAAGATTGTAAAGCCAAACCCTGTTATTTTTCCTAAGCCCAACCATGTGTGTGGTTGGCAAAATGTAACCATGTACGAATGTTGAAGGAAAAAAACGTCAATTTGTGGTATTGTACCAATGTAGTGCTGGCCCTGGCCCAAGACTTAACTGAAACCTAAACAAGCAGTTTTATTGCCTAAACCTAACAGGCAACAGGCAGTGTTGGCACAACTGCGACTGTTTCACAACGTTAACCACATGCTTAAAACTGCACTCATTAAATGTCGTATGCAAATTACTTTGTCATCCACCTGTAGGAGCTCTAATTTAGGAGCCGTGCACATGCCACCATTTTTGAGCCCTCAAATTCAATGTTTTCAATGTAGATGCGTGGCAGGCACGCTCAAACACCAGGGTGACGCAGTTATGGCATACACATACACTGCATGTGGCCCCCTGGGCTCCTGTGGATTGTATTCAGATAGTAGGAACATATGACCTATGTAGTTAAATGACTCTGAGGAGTTGTTGAGGGATTTATGAGACAATGTCTCTTAAAGGTCCAGTGTGTGTGATTTAGTGGCATAGATTAACATGTCAGACTCTGTGGAAGAGGATCTGCTTCATATGTAGATAGAAACAGTTCATTTTGAGATAATGAAAGCACAGCTATTCTTATTTTCATGTGATTAGAGACTGATGAAAACATAGTGAGGAATATTATATACCATGACTACAGATAGATTCCACTAAACTCAGTCTAATTTCTTTAAAATTCTTGAAACCAAATAACTCATTTTGGAAGCAAATATTCTCACACACCATCAGAGTAAACCTCTTCCTCACAGTTTTAGACACTCAAGAAGCTCTCCATGCACTTGCATCACCTTCAGGATAAAATGTAAGCTATGCACACAAGATGTCTTTCAATGTAAAGAGCTGATTGCCATGAAATTGGATGAACACATACATGGTCCCAAAGGGATAAACTCTAATGACCCTGTAACCTTTCCTCCAGCAGCAACTAGGGACAAACGTAGGCTTACAACTTTTTAGCCTCACTGCTGATGATTATGCAAAGTAATATCAACATACATTTGCTCCATGGAGCTGCATATTATTGGATGTAATGAACATTGCAGCCTCTGGGGGTCTATGAGCAGCTTCTGGCCTGTGGGATTTTGGGCCTATGTGCAGTTCATTAACAGTAATAGAATTTTATTATTGTCTCTGAGTGACTGAATGTAATTAGCAGGCACATGTGCACAGCTGTGCAGTATTTACACCATGAAATGCATCTATAATTAAATTAATGCACATTCAAATTCAATCAAAGAACAGAAGAGCAAACACTGTGGAATTTGTTAGTCCTGATTACAACATTAAACCTCTACATTGTAGTAAATATTGATTTCAGTTGCATGAGGATTTTATTTAGAGAGAATAAACATAAATGAACACTATGGGTTATTGGCATTATGATGATTACAGACTGGAGGTTTCTCTCACATCACAGCGTACACCCATAAATAGTCACGCATCATCATCATAAATAGTTGCGGTGGAACAAGGCTGAGTCGACGCAATGGCACAAAGTGTCAGGGGAGCAGGTGTTAATGCCTTTCAGAGAAATAAGAGAGCCTGAGATCCTTCCCTTCTGCAGCTCCTTGATTAATCCACCATACCCCCCCTCCTATACCTTTGATCCTTTCTTCCTAGTTACCTTTGATGCTTGTTATCCCACTTCATTTCTTTTCTCTTTTTTGGTGTTACTCCCTCCCACTCCACTCTCCCATCATCCTCTATCTCATATTGTGTTTTTCATCCTCCTTCTGTGTCAGTGTTGTTCCTTTTTCTGTCTCTAAATCTCCCATTATCCCGCTCACTCAGATTGGTTCTTCTTGTGTTCCCCACAGAAAGCCCACATACACTTTTACGCACCAGGATCTGATGGCGTCTCCCATCATCAGCAACATTCAGGCACACACATGCAGACATGAGCTGTGTAAGAGTGTATGAATAGCCTGGAAAACGTTTCATCATTTCTTTATTTACAGCACACTGCAGTAAACGCTCAGTCCATGACAGACCTGAACACCACACGCTTAACAATCCTGTTTGAACTGTTAAAGGTACACTGTGCAGGATTGTAGGTTATTCTTTGTAAACATGCTCGCCGCCAAAAATTAAAATACAACTCAGATTCCAAAAAGAGTTTAGATGCTGTTTAAATCAGAAATAAAAACAGAATGCAATGATCTACAAATCTTTTTCGAGCTATATCCAATTGAGTACAGTACAAAGACAAGAAATGTAGTGTTTAAACTGATAAACTAGAGTGTTTTCTGTAAATAATGCCTGCAACACGTTCCAAAAAACTTGGGACATGGCCATTTTTACCACTGTGTTACATCACCTTCTCGTTTAACAACACTCAGTAAGCATTTGGGAACTGAGAACACAGACTGTTGAAGTTTTGAAAGTGTAATTTCTCTCTCAGGATTCACAACTGGTGCCTGAAATTACTTCAAGATCTAACAACTGTCTGTGTGTAAGAATGGGCCAAAATCCCATCTGAACACTGTGAGACCTTAGTTTGGCATTGCAAACAAAGGCTTCTCCGAGTGTTACATAAATTTAAGTTAGTATGTAATGATTTTTTCTTGTATCATTCCACTTGGTAACACTTTATATTAAGGTACTGTAATAAGCGTTAATTAATGCTTAATAAGCACCAATTAACAGTTAATGAACACTAATAAACACTTATATAGTCTTATTAATGTTAATAAGCATCTTATACATCTTATAAGTGGTCATTAACTGTTAATTTGTGCTTATTAAGCATTAATGAAAGCTTATTACAATACCTTAATATAAAGTGTTACCTTCCACTTTATTGCACATACATTTTTTGGGTTGAAATGTTATGATTTCTTTATCTGTGTAGTTTTATTGAGTTATTACCAAAGACTGTATAAAATAGTGCATGTAGCTACAGTGATGTCACTCACTGGTTTGTGGACTCCTGCTTTGAAGCCTCGAGTTCGCCATTATGACCATCACCATCACCATCTTGGTCTTTTGGAACCAGAAGTGACCCTATTTGGATGAGAGGCTGGCACTGTGGATGAGCGAGGTTGCATCTAACTGAGAAGCTGAGGACAATATCGGCAGACAGCCTGTCACTCAAAGCGACCCCACCTTTAATTATGCGTAACTTTAAGCCTCAATAACGGGTGAGCTATATAAACATTCACCCCCTGTATGGTTGTCATGAATGTTGAAATTAGCTATAGAGACCAAAATGTTTTGAACCAGGTTATAAACATGTTTATTTCTGCTGTAAAGTTGGGCATATTAACATGGGGGGTCTAAGGGGATTGAGTCGCTTATGGAGCCAGCCTCAAGTGGCCATTAGAGGAACTGCAGTTTTTGGCACTTCTGTGTTGGCTTCATTTATCAGCTCTGAAGGTTGACACTTGGTTAATACCAATGTCTGGTCTAAATTCCATGTAAATAGCTGCACTGGAAATAGGTTTGAGGAAAACGTGGACATGTTGAATACTTAATCTCCCACTGTATGTCAAAAAGGAATTGCAGATCATTGCATTTTGTTTTTATGCACATTTCACACAGCATCCAAACTTTTTTGGAATTGGGGTTTAAAAGCCAACCCCAGACTTACTCTCGTTTGGCGTTCGGCCTCATTTTATTTGTAGGGTTCCTTGTGGTGCTGTGTCTCTAACATGCCTGCTAGCACCTGGTCGCTACCCCACCTAAGTGCTGTAGGAATAAGTGCTCACAGAAAATAAGAAAACACAGTCAGAGGCAGAGTTCTGCAGATCAATACACCGCCACACACTTCCAGTATGTCATAAATGATGACTGAGAGGGATTACCTCTGTATGAGTCTACACAGTGTTTTATCAGGACAATCCTGCACAGTATATCTTTAAGATCACAAAACTCCAGTCTTTATCAGCACATCAGAACGGCCAGCAGGTAGCTCTTAATTTACGGGAGGATTTGCCAATAAATAGACAGTCCCTTAAAAAAAACTGAAATTGTTTCCACTGTGCTTTACTTCAAAATCTCACATTTTAATTATAATGAATCCACACTGAGCACAATGCCTCCACATCAATACAAATGACAATCTTCAGAATGATGTAAGTCTTGGCAGAGATCAATACAATCCTTCCAGCACAATTCAAGTGAGCGCCCTTGAAATCTGATGTGTGCATGCACTGGAGAGTAACTGATGGCGATGACGGTGAGTGGGGGGAGGTGAGTAACATCAGTTGATCACACAGTGCGGTGGCAGCGCGTTTCAGGACAAAGTGGCCCACAGCTTTGTGATTACTTTAGCCTTAAAGCTTCATCTTGGGCTTCCACACAACAATTTAAAAGTCCTGTGCCAAAGAGCAGCACAAATACTGTACAAGACAAATCCACAAGAAAGTCCAACACCCTGTGCTATCAATGAGACTGTACGCAAGTGAAAATATAAGTCTTATCAGTGAAGTAATACTGTTCAAATGGAGTCCCAGCACTCTTAGGAAAAAAATCTTCTGGTGTTTGTATTTATTGCACACCACAGCGTCTCTTGTTTTTCATGCTTCACCTTGCTGCTGCTGTGTGACTCCTGTTGGACAGCTTTGCTTATTTGGACCATGACCAGTGTACATCTGTGGTCACTGTTAACCAAATGCACCATGCTTGAGTTGCAGCACGAGTGCACAGCCTCATTTCCATTTTAATTTCCTGGCGCTGTCTTCCTCAGCAGCTGAGGATCTTGATGAAGGCTCGTCTGAACTCGATGTTGAAGGTGGTGTAGATAATAGGGTTGAGAGCACTGTTGACATAACCCAACCAGGTGAAAGCACTGTAAAGCGCAGGAGGCACGTAGCATGTCCGGCAGTGGGTGTTCAGAATGTGAGTCACAAAGAAAGGCAGCCAGCAGATGAGAAACACCCCTGAAGCAGCCAGAGAGCAGGGAGGTATGGAGAGAGGACGAAAACATAAACACAAGAGAAAAATTGTAAGAAACAGTGAGTTTGTCCGCTGTAACATCAGCCGCAAACTTTAGCATGTTTGGCTAACTAGATTGTTACCAACAGTAGTAATCAAGGGTTACTTCCAAAGTAAGCTGATAATATCCTCCTGAAACCCAAACTTTTGTTTGGAATGCATTTTTAATTTCTCCTAGCTATTTGGGATCAGTAGGACCTGATAATCATAAAAAAATAAATAAATATTGTCACCAACAATATAGTCCCGATGTCTTTTAACGAGGTGATGATAAATTCCCAATATGCTCAAATGAGCACTTCCTAATTAAAAGTGTCTTATCTTGTTACTGTTGCTAAAATTGGTCAAATTTATTGCCATATCAAAGTACAAACTTTATCAATCATAATTAAACAAGTTTCAACCATAAAATGTGATCAGGTTTTGTACCTTGTCCACTTTTGTCTCAGGATTGGCTGCAGACTGACTTGGCAGAGATGGCTGCCATATTGTTTTTACTTGGATTAGTGTACTGTGGTCTTACTACCACTAGATGGCACAAAAAGTGTCCACAAACAGGTCTACGTAAAGGAGAATGAAGTATAAGGTGCAGGAAACCAAAAATGTGATGTTCTCACATTAGGACACAGGGTCTCAGGAGGATATATAATAATTAATGTAGCAATGTAGCAAACTACATTGGTTATTACATGGGGTTACAGGTTACGTTAAAAAAAATTCTGTTCAGAACTGACATGCTGCACAGGAGCCAAAATGCTAACATTACTACATCACAGTTTAGAACATAGACAGTATGTAAAGATGGACGACGTGTCTCCATTTTCTCACAATATACAAAAGTGAAGAGAAAATATTTCACATACAGGCACTACCACCTTACGCTTTTGGAGCCAGAGTCTGTGCAGTTACGAATTAGGAAGTGGTGCGGGATTTATTTCCCACTCATACACTGGTCTGACCCAATCATGAGCAGCACCACAGATCACATACACACATACAGCTGTCAATCATGACATCAAACCCCCTTTTAAGAGCATCTACGTTGTTATTAAAATAAGTTAATGTGACTTTAGGACATGAGCACAGGTCTCCTGGGTGAAAGTCCTGTGTTTGTTTGATCCATATACCAGTCTTTGTCGCTTTCTATGCTAGGTCATGTCACTTCCTCCTCCATTCTTGTAATTATTACTTGAGCCACTAGAGGGGACATAATCAGCTGCCTGCAAAACTGACCTATGTGGGGGGGGGGGGATTTTCGGTGTGAGTGGGCTGGTCTGGAAGGGGCGGGGTTTATGACCTATACTACAGCCACTTAGTTACCAGGGGACATTCAAGATGTTTTGGCTTCACTTTTGGGAGGCTGTCATGTTGTCCATCTTTATATGCAGTCATTGGTTTAGAGCGGTGGTTTCCAACTGGGGGGTCTTGGTCCAAAGTGGGTCATGGGTCCATTCTGATAGGACCACAAGTGACTTGCTAGCATATCAACCTTGTAAAAAACACACTTTATTTTTAAGTATAGTAAATTTTTAGCACACAGCTTTTATGTTTGAAGCACTGCTTCCAGCTGTAGAGTGAATGAATAACAGACAGCTACTTAACAGAGAAAGCAAACTAGCTTGAGACATGGCCAAATGCAAGTATGACGCCGAAAACATGAAATGTGGACCTTGAACTAATGACTAAGGAAAAATCTGGACTCCGTGGCTGGACCAGTTGATAATCACTTGTTTAGAGTTGTGTAAGTAAGACTGGTGAGGATGCTGATCTTTTAACCCAGCTTCAGCCTTAGTTTTTTATTTTTTTAGCATTACATCATGTGTGGTTATTATTTTCATTTAAGACTCTTCTGAACAGCCATTTTTAAAACAAGTCTGATGGAATCATTAAAAAGTTAGCTTTTTAACCAACACATGGAGTTTGTGTGAGTCAAATAGGTAACTACAGTCATTTCAGCTGACAAATTCTACTGTTGGCAGCTATAGTTGGCCTGCCTGTTTACTTTTGTGTAAAATCAAAGACCCATTGCTTCAGAAATGACTACGCATTTCGAGTAATCTGCTGTTCTTTGAAAACCATGTGTGTTGTGCAAAACAGAAGGCTTGATAGGCTTTGCCAGGGGTCAGTTAAAACTGTTTTGGTTCCCAACCTGCACTTTGTGTGGTTATTCAGGTTTTGAAGACACTTAATAAACCCAGCAGCAGCCAACAGGACATCGTTTATTATGTATAAACAACTATGAATGCTGCAGCATACTTGAAACAGTCATTAAATTCAAGTACCATAATTGGGGTCACAACATCACTGCAAAGCAGTGGTCAGCTGGGTGAAAAGCAGGTGGGAAGTGGGCGGGACTGAGATAATTTTCTGTGTGTGTGCCACAGTTTTCACTGACACCAGTGTAACGTAATGAGACACCTCTGATTACATTTTTGTCAGCGAGATCTCTGCTGTGCCAGAGCCAACTTGACCAGGCTTATAGCAACCTGGCTGATAATTGGAGCATGTGAAAGCTGTGTCAGGAGCTACAGCGTGTGCCTGGACACACACTGTGAACCTGAAGCAAACCAGACTTTTCTGACATTTCAGCTTGATTTATTGTGGCTCTGCAAAATATGCAGCAAATGCACAAGGGGTAAGAAAATGTGCTGGTGCCATCATCGCTAGATGAGAGAGCGGTACAAGTGACCGGGCACATATGGCAGAAAAGACCATCAGGAAAATGTTAAAGGAGCTGAAGTGGAATAAGCAACTATCTATATAATTGCCTGTGATAAGTGTTAGCATGACATTTATGTTTCCCTTCCCTCAGCCACTTAAGACAATCTCCACTCACCAAGAACAATTGCCAGCATCTGAGTGGCCTTTTTCTCCCGTGCGTGCATACTCCTGAATCGTGGATTGTTGATGTGAGAATGTACCATCGACCGCAGTGACGTGTGTGTTCGTCCATTGGACAGATTCTTCACCTCGCAGCTCATCCTGACAGGAGGCTGTTCATTTTGGTTGCTCTCCTCCGCCTTCTCCTCCTCCCGATCCTGCTCCAGATCCAATTCAGTGCGGCCACAGGAGGCATGACTGATGCTGCAGCAGTTCTGCGTGTCCACCTGGGGCAGCACAGAGTTCCCCACAGGTCCCGTCTTTGGACGTTTGCGCCACAGGCATCCTGACAACAGGTTGGGCTTGGAGGGATCTGAAGGCTCTACACTCTGCTGTCAGGACAAATCACACATGATAAAGAGATGCTGTATAATCAGCACACATATTCAGTTACATGTTATCATATTATTTATTGTAATAGAAATGTCACATCATTAAAGCGGCACTATTTTTAGTTATATGTAATATGACAGTTGTCAGTGGTATGGAGAAACACGCTTCAGAATTATTACCCAACTCTGCAGTTCCCCTCAGCTCTTTTAGCATCTTTCAGCTCATTGTTTTGGTTTTCTGGCCTCCAGCTTTAATATTAACTCACAACAGACAGCACTTTAACCTCTGTAAACCTACAGTACAGTTCGCTACCTGTATGAAATGTCAGACAAATTTAGCAGCTATCTGGTTAACAAAGTGGAGCATTTAACTCTCTGAACAACTGAATATTTTCCTTGTTGGTTGGTGAAGACCAAAATGGAGCTACAGTAAAAAGAACTGAATATTGGACTGAAGGCTTTTGCACACCAAGTCCACATTTTCATCGGGAATTATTGCACGTTTAAAAATAAATGTGACCTTACGTTGTGTTAACCCAGAATCTGAAACTTTTGTCCATCATTAAAGGTTCTGGAAGAGGTTTGATTTTCTGCATTTTTTTTTTTTTTTTTTTTTTTGCATCCGTCAAAAGCCTTTCGAGAGTTGTTTGACCAAGACGCAGTGAGGAATGTGTGAGACACATGCATCTGCAACAAGAGAGAGGAACAGGGTAGAGGGCCAGCTGTTTTTGAAATCTTCCACAACAAAGACAATATAATGTTAGCTGATCTAGAAAGACACAACAACAATGATGAAGTGCAATTTATTATCTGCACAGTATCATTTCATAACTCTAGTAGCCACAGCGCCAAATGAAAGACGTGGGCACCTAGGGCAACGTATTCTCCCTCCAGCGGTGTAAGGAAATTACGACGGACCCCATTGCACACTATTATGACGGGCCCTAGTGCACACTATTGTGCATGTATTGTCTTGACACAAATAGAGACGTGACACTGGACAAAATCAACATACATATTACCAGCAAGTATTATTGCATATCTGACAAAAATATCAAAGAAAATTAATCATTTAATTTAATAGTTTTTATAGTTTATTTATAGATTTTATAGCTTTTGTAGAGAATGCATATAGTTTTGTTTTAGATAGCTTAAAAACTAAAAATAGAAAAGTAAACCATGGTTTGCCTTTTTTGAAGACATTTATAGCAACCATTTTTAGATTAGGAACATTTTTTTCTTTATCATTCCTCTTTGACCACAGGTATATATTCAAGGTGGCAATCTGAATCACTTTCCCGCTCTCTCTATGGGTCCCTCCACCCCATGAGTGCACTGCCTGCACTGTCTATATTTACGCCCCTGTCTTACTCCCAACTCATCAAATATTGATACTTGATCAGTGTTCTGTCACCCCAAAATATTATGTGCTAGATATACCTCCTGTGTCAGCTTCAGGGTCAGTTTATACTCGTTACCTGCATTGTCTGCAGATAATGCACTAATTCTTTTCGTTGTACATACAGACTTTTTTAAAAATAAACTTTGACCAAAGGTAACAAACTGTGCTATCAGGTTTACTTCCTTAGGTCTGGGCAACAACAAACATGTGGTTAAGTTCAGAAAAAAACATCACGGTTTGGCTTAAAGTCACTACGTTTGTTACCAATGTAATGTAATGTCACATAGGTCATGTGACATAATTCGCTAGCATAGTATGCTACACATACTAGGGCACTACGTCCTTAGTAAAACAACTTGATTGACTTGGTTTCACACAGAACACAAACAGCAGGCTCCCGGGTGAAAGTCCAAAGTTTGTTTGACCCATCCACCCTCACTCATCTTAATTTTTGATGAGTTGGGAGAACGACCAGGTTGTCTAGGGAAGTAAGTGGTGAGACGCAAGGGAAGAAATGTGTCTGTCCATTTTTTCTTGTACTGCAACTTTTCACAATGAACAGAACAATAAAATGCATCACACTCACCGTGCAAGGATTCTGTGTGTATAAGTTTTATCAGATCACAGATTTTAACCCTATGGGCCCTAGGCGTTTTTGGGGTATTTTTACTGCCTTTACTTTTAAGATCATATCACAGTCATTATAAAGGCTACATAGGGCCTACACATGCTATATCTTGTTTTTTTTCAGGACAATGTGGGCTAACCGGATTTGCCAACATTCCATGTCCTTCTATGTGCCTGTATTTTATATTAATTTTTATATCAATGAAAAAAACAAATCCATGTTACTAAATTCTTACATTTTTACATGTATCTCAGTATAGCAAGTTGGAAAATGACATATTCTGCCATATCTGAAGAGGGGAGACTCTCTGGAATCTGGCAATATAAGAACCATGATGGTGGGACATTCTGTCACTTCACAGCTGTCCAAAACATGTGATTTGTGCCAGGCGGACATGATTGCCAGTATTTTTTCATTATTGCAAGAAATTCCATTGACTCATTCACAAGTCAAAAATGTGTTTCATCTGAAATAAACATGCAATATTTACATCTAAGATCATAGAAATATAGTCAACCAAGTGCAATGATGTCTTCCAAGATAACTTTGTTTGCAGTAAACAAAGTTTGCTGTTGTTTTTCAGTTTCAGTTATATATTGGGGGGGCATTTTGAGCATTGGGGGGGGCATGTCCCCCTCAATGTATATGGTGACTACGGCCCTGTCAGGCATGCATAATTAGGCCTCAGTTGTCTAGGTGCGCAAAGGTGAAGTGGCTGGTCTTGTCATATGTCATATGGAGATATTTGCATCTTGAAAGCCGGACTACAAATGTGGATAGACAGGGACAAACACACCCAAGCCTAAGACGTGGTAAGATATGATGTTCCTCACTATATGAAGTGACTGATAATAAGATCTGTATAATGGGTTGTAAAGAAATTCGTCAGGTTTTTATTTTGTAGACAATTAATCTGGATTTATAGCATGATAAGATGACAGCACAATGGTGTGTGTGGTATCATTGGAAAGGTCTGCTCCTGCGCTTTCATGTGATATGCGTGGCATTTCTGCGCGAGTAATCCATCCAACAGTAATGTGTGTGCAGAGCTGTGTGAAAGCTCTGTTATACATAATTTTAGTGTAAATTTATCATTGTTTTTCGCTGTAAAAACATTGGACTACCGACAAGTGCTTGGTCTTGTCGGAAAGCTACAATTCTGCTGTTTCATGTGATATGCGTGGCTTCTCGCTATGACACACGGTCGCGGAGAAAATCAATAGAGAAGAACAGGTGTGAATTTGGACGCACTATGCGTCATTCGGGCCCATAGGGTTAAAAAATGCATATGAAAAATACGGATGTGGTGTACGATGGCCTTTATATTTGTCAGGTGTCTAGATGGTGCTCTAGTGTGTAAATAGCAAACTGCCAACAACTTTATGATAATGTGTCAGTGTTGTGTTTACATCTTGTTGCCAAAAACAAATAAATTATTGCAGCTTTATTATTTGAATTTCAGGTAAACATAATTCATTGCTTTCCTACACCACTTCTCTGTTGAAAAATTACCTTTATCTTATCCTGCCTTGACCATATGTGGAAAATGAAGCTGAATGCTACTCCAGTGAGCCAAAAAAGTGGGCAGTACGACTCAGAAAGTTGAACGTTATGGCCAATACATCTCAGAAATGCTGTTCAGACAGAGTGAGAGCTTGTCCTGCACCTCCACTGCAAGTTTTTAAATCACTTATGCACAGTGTGCATTCAGCGTACATCAGTGTGCCAGCAGTATCTGTAAATTACCTCTAAAGACAATATTTCATTTTCATAGCATACCAACAAATACTGCCTCATTCTAAAACTGCAAATTCAGCAAGTACAGCTCCACTGAGCCGTTACCCACGTAGCAAAAAGAAGCATAATTAACTAGTTGTGCTAATTGTGCAACGTGTATTTCCAGTATAGCCAGAAATGTTCATTTTCTTTCTTCTTTCTCTCACACACTTATCTCTTGACACATTTTCCTCAAAGGAAAATTACAGATTGCTATTCCTCTCCGCCTTTGAGCAGTCTGTGGATCATGCAGGTGCTGCAGTGCGTCACCCACAGACTTTGCTCAGCTGACAAGTGACCAGGTGAGGAGAGGCAACAAGCCACGCTTCAGAATCACAATTTTCAGCTCCTTCACAGACCCCTGGGCTGCGAGCACACAGCGGAACGAAAAACCCAAGTGTGCATGAACATAAACACTGACAGACTCACATGAAAAGCTAAAAACAGAACCGCCCTGCGTGCCGCCATGTCACAATACGCCAACACAGTAGATATGAGAGTTAGTCAGGCATTAGGCTGCGTTGCATTCAGCAAAACTAGAGCAGTGAAATAAATCAATTCAAGAGCTCTGTTGGATCCCTGGTTTACAATAGCACTCACCACTTTGATTCTTATAGGTGACAGGTCTTGCCTCGCCTTGGGAGTCTCCTCTTGTAGACAGGTCTCCTAGGGAATCAGAGGGAAGTTTAAGAAAGTATTTTCCAGAGAAATTCTTAACCTCTCCATATTCCCCATTCCCCATACAGGTATAGAAAGTGTATGCCATTCATTTGAAGTTATTGATTTATCTCTGTGTATCTCTGGAGGATGTTTTCATTATGATTCACATCTGTTATTTATCTGTCGCTTTCACACCTGAACGAAACACCGAGCCACTCAATTAAAGCTCAATGCAGAAATAAAGATAGCAGCTTTTGAAACAAGCCTCCTCCTCCTTCATATCAGTTCCTTCACTTGATTGAGTCAGAGTCCTATTATGTTATTTCTAAACACATTCCCATTATAACACTCTCAGCTTGATCTCCTCCAGGGCTTAGATCTCACAATGAGTGTCTGCACTCATGGATGACTGGGGCTCAACCACAACCAATCATCTGTAACCTGCTGTTATAATAGAGGACTTGATTGTGAAGTAGTGTGCAATGAAGGGATAAAAATGGAGTGAAAGCACCTGGATACGCCACTGCTGATCACGTTACTGGATTATATTATCTAATAGTGTCTTTTTATACACCATATTTTAAAAATAGGGTAGATACAGATACACAGAGCATGACCTGGTGTCTCCTTGCCCCTGGATAAAAGACAAAGCCATCGTTTGTATGATAGATGTAACTGGGACAAATATTAGCGTGATGGATGTCATCAAAGAACTGACAGCTGGTTGTGAACAGAATTCAGATTTGCTCCATAATGAGATATCCACCATTTAAAGAACAGCGTCACCCTTATTCCAAAGTACTAAAAATAAAAAGACTGACTATTTTCAACCTTACCGGCTATTTTCATTAGGAACAGCTTTAGTTTAACAGTGACAGCTGTATCATCTGCTCATGAACCGAGCTATACATTTTGTCTATAAATTTAATCTTTGCCCTGAATGGGTTCACCTGAGAGGCCAATTTCCCTCAGCCTATCTTTACAGACACTTTTCTCTCCTATAAGAGCAAAAAGTAATATTCCTAAATTTTTTTTTTGACATCTCGCCTGAAGCATTTTACCTGCAAATGACATATAGAAATTCATGCAAATGAATAAAGAGGCTTTAACTTTGGCAGTTTGACCGAGCGTTTCAGATCAAAGTGTTCTCTTGTGCTGTAATGGAAATGGTTATGAGGCTTTGGAGGAGGTTTTGCTGGCGAGGTCTGACGGAAAAAGGTCTAATATGAAGGTGAACTGTAATTTGCAAGTCATTATGAATGTGGGTGAGTGTGAATGAGGGAGACTGCATCCACATGAGGAATACAAAGCTGTGGTCAGGAGGAAACGTTGCATCTACAAAAAATCAGGGACCGGTTGCACAAAACAGCTTAGGTTTTCTTCTTAAGTATGTTGCACAGAATCCCTTAAAAGGTTTCCTAAGTTAAGGAAAAACATTAACCCATTTACTGCCATGATAGACATTTTACAGTAGTAAAAGTTTCCATGGAGATGGAGTTTGCTTGGACTCACGCCTGTGATGCCTGTTATCATCTCACAAAGTTGGCTTATAGTTAGTGAAAAAATGGCAGAAGAAAAGAAGACAGGAAAACCATATTGGTCAGAGGAGGAAAAGATTCTGGAGGAATACACAAACTACAAAGTAAATTTGATCCCCAAATACCAGAAAACGATTGTAGGAAAAACTGCAACGAAAATTAATTCAGTCAAATCTGTCGTGTAAAATCAAAAGTGTATTCACTGGGTTTTCCTGGTTGCAGAATACTCTCCTCGGTCATGTTGCAATTAAGATAGAGTTGGAGGTACCTTTAGTTGTTGTTTTTTTTACCATGCTTTGGTTGCTAAGGTCTTGTGTGCAACGGTCTGGGGGTTCCTTAGGTACAAGCTCAAGACAAGGAGAAAACCATAAATACTTCAGTGAACATCTTTAAGGAGAAAACTTAAAGGTGTTTATTGCAACTGATTTTTTTTTTTTTTTTTTGAGGACTTTAATGAAAATCTTAACCTAATGTGTTTTGTGCAACTGACCCCAGATTATTAGGAGCTTAAAAAAAGAAAACAAAAGAAAAGAAGCATACATAACCAATACACAACTTGGTTATAGGGATTTGGAAGCTCATTGTCTCATCGTCTCTCACTATAGAGAGGCAATGAGAACATAATTTTTGACTTAATACAATCAGATCCAAAGGGTTTTATGATGGTGGATAATGGTATTTTTCCTCTGTGCAATAATTCAGGTAGACACCATTTATAAAGGGCTTATATGTTCAGTTCAATTCCATTTTATTTACAAAGCCCAATATCACAAATAATAATTTGCCTCAGAGGGCATACAGCATATGGCATCCATTTGTTTGTTGTAACTAATGACTTATTAATGATATTAAATCTTTTATTAATGCTTTATAGATCAGTTACAAGATAGATCAGGACTCTGGTTGCAGGATCGAGCTGAGACAAGACGAAGACTATTTCTCAGGAGCTGAATTTTGAAAGTACGAGAAAGTGGTCATATTCTCACATTGACGTTACACTGACTCAGGTATGTCTAGCAGAAATAGGCTGAGCGAATAAGAGATTTTGAGATTGAATTGTCCTTTCCTCTGGGGAGTACCTCTTATCTGCTACAACAACAGGCATAGACCAGTTTGTGTAAAGCTTGTGGAGCAAGTTAGAAGATATCAGCACTTGTATGATCCCTCTTCTTAAGATTATTCAAAAGAAAAGTAAGTCACTGTTCCTGGAAGGAGAACGATAAAGAGCTGGAGAGTGATGTCGGAGAGTGAACCTGAAAATGGAGGCTTCTGAGAGACAAATTCCAAAACATGAAGAAGAAGTTGGCAAAAAGCAGCAGGAGTACAGGGGGAAGGGGATACCAGCCTTCTATATCATGTTGTCCTGGCTCCTCCTTTTTATCCAGCACAGAGAGACAAAGGGCAACAGTGGAGGTAAGCTGTCAAAACCTCAATAGCAAGTCCCAAGATGCATGTGTGAAATAACTTATACAATCCATCATGCCTGGCACATGTGAGAGGCGCACACACCAGCCCGCACAGACTGCACAGGCACACAGCCACAGAGGTATAAAAAGTGATGCCATAATTCATAACAAAGGAAATTATGGTCTCACCACAGATGGCGGAGTTGAGCCTGGCTGCACCTTTCCGCTGGTCTGGCCGAAGGTGATCCTCTTCCGCCTCATCCTGAGGAAGACGTAGATGCGGATGTAGACCAGCAGAGTGACAACAAACGGCAGGTAGAAGGACACCACCGAGGAGTAGATCACAAAGTCGGGGTTGGAGATGGAGCAGACCATGGGGTCATCTGAGTCAAAAACAAAATAGCATTATGCAAAACAGCCTCAAAATCCCGGGATAATAAAGACACAGCAGGCTGGCATTTGACCTGAGCTGCTGCTCTCCATCTTGAAAATGACCGCGATGGCTTGTCTTCTTTCATATTCTGCATGCATTTTTAATTGTACAGCATTGACTCTGGGGTGGAGGTGTGACTGATGTGACAATAATTGCTCCATTAATTCAGAATAGGAGCCCATTTGGCACAATAATAATAGCCTATAGATCAATTAGTCAATCAAAATACCAGAGTTGAATATCTATCAAGTGGGCTAATGGAGCTGTAAATTCAAATTTAAAAAAACAAAAAACAAAAAAACAACCAAAAAAAAAAGACACAGGCTGTGACCACAGCTGTGAAATGCATATTGCATGTCAGAGGCATGAACAAACTGACATGATGTGCCTCTCTGGACGTTCCCTTGGATCAATATCACATACCTCGATACACAGAGAGATGCAAACAAGGGCAGACAGATACAATCTATTTCTAGCCACACTCCAAACCCCCTTCAGTTTCAAGATTCATATTATTTCATTTGCCACTTGTACAGTATTTGTGTAGCTGCTCTTTTTCAATCCTTTCCTTTTTGAAGGGCGATGAAGGACCCCAGACCTCATATGAACTCCCAGTGCCTCCTTCCAATGCTGATGCCTGGTTGTGTACTGACAAAAAAGTGGGATTCCTGCAATCAGCAGCCTTTGTTTTGTAAATGGACTAAACTAAATGCCCATATCTGTGTGAGTAGCTTTACATTGTGTTTGACTAATGTTCTTAATTGTGTATGTGCAGTCACGCATCGGTGCTGCTGGCTATTGAAATTAAAATAGCTACTGGTGATGGCTCTCACATTTCTCTGTCCCTTGTGTTGTCTGGTGGTTCATGAGGATGTCACCATCGCTCCTCATGCAGCAACTCCATCTAACCACAGTTCAGTGCAAATATACTACATAAACATAAACATATTAAATAACTATATTATATATACTATTGTAAATATAAAGATACACAAAACATTAATTGTGGTGCACTTAACATCACAGATAAATTATATACTGTAACAGCCTAAGAGGACCTGAGCATCTTATAGGTGGCGTATCCACGTATAGGTCACATAAGCTGCTGCCTAGGGTTGCACCTAGAGAGAAGGCACCAAAAGCCCCATTTCCACCGAGCAGTACAGTATGGTACGGTTCAGTTCGGTATGCTTTTTTTTCTGTTTCCACTGTGAAAAGTTGTGGATGGTACCAATGGAACCATTCAGTACCGTCCCCGTGTTTTGGTCCCCCCTCTGCTGGGGTACCTAGCACACAGATCTGGTGCTAAAAGGTGGAGCTGTGAACACTGCAGTCTGTTGATTGGTCAATAGAGGACGGTCACTCTGCTCAGGGCTGAGTTGTGGCTGGTTTTGTAACCACTGTTCAAACTGTGAACAGTGGTTCACAGTAGTTTTACATTTGTAAACTGTAACTATAAAATGAAATGATGATTTGCCTCCTTTAGCAGCAGCTGTAGACTGAGAAAAAAAAAACTCAATTCACTGAGCCATCTGCCAGCAGCTTTTAAGGTAGAACGTTTACTTGTAATGTTACTCAATGCAAGAGCTGACCATTACTTTAGTTTTTGTATGACATACACTTTTAGTAATGAGTGGATCTGTGGAGCATCGTTCCTGTGGGCTCTGGCTGACTGTGCTTGCCTGAGAAGGACTAAATGCACAAACTCGTTATTTTTAAAATATCCCATAGAGAGAGACTCACTGCGTGCAGGCTGTTCTATTTTGTCCTGAAAATGTCGGTGCGCCACTTCATTCTGTGGACAATAAACAAGGTGCAGACGTTCTGTCTATGAGGAAATACAGTGAGTGCTGGATGGAGCAGTGAGTGACAACAACCCCGCCCATGTGTAACAGTACTGTCTGTGGGGTCTAGGTACCATGTCTGAAGGGTTTCTTTTGGTTCCAGAGGTACCATACTGAAATTGTTTGGTAGAAATGGGGCTAAAATCCCCTCAGTTTCTTTGAAAAAACCCCCCAAACAATCAAAATAAAGTGAAAAAGGATTCAAAGGTCTAACGCTAACAGTTGGTATCGGTATCACCTATAGTCCTGGCAATGCAGTTCACCTTAATGTGTTCATCTGTGAGTGATCATCACAATCAGGACATGATCAAGCATTGAGAAAATGAAAAGGTAAAAGCCCTACGAAGAGCAGCAAACACACTGTATCCTTTAATTATTCATTTATTAGTATTGTTTGTTAGCTGAGCTGTTTATTTGTGTTGATTTCTGGTATGGCTCAAGCTCCAAAAGACCTGGAGCCGGTTGCACAAAACACCTTTAGCTAAGATTTTCCTAATGAAGTCCTAATGAAGTTTTCCTCAAAAAATGGATACAAAAACCACCTCAAGTCTTCTCCTTAATGTTTCCTAAAAATGTTCACTTATAAGTATGTATGGTTTTCTCCTTGTCTTGGTCCTATACTTAAGGAATCCCTGGACTGTTGCACAAAAGACCTTACCAATCGAAGCATGGTAAAAAAACAAACAAAAAAAAAAACTTAAGGTACCTTTGACTAACTGCAACATGACTGAGTTTATGGTGATAAATGAAAAAACTAACACACCCCAAGAACAGTGGGCCTCATTCACAAACAGTGCGTACGCACAAATCTGTGCTTAAACTGTGCGTACGATCGTTTGACGCACAAATCCGGGATTCATCAATATTTTCTTACCCGAATTTATTCTTACTCTGTGAACAAATTTAGAACTGCCTCAGACCATAAATATGCACAAATGAGGAAGGCCGAACTGACTTAGAAAATGCAGACATACCTTTTAAGTACATGCAGAGTCTATAAAACCACATTCATGAAAAACAGATTTAATTAACATTTTTTAAAATAATTAATTTACTAATATATTGGCCAAATGGATTAAATTACCATGAAATTGACACACGTTCACCCTTATCATTGTGACAATTAAAATATTAACAATAACATGAACAGAAAAACTATCACTCCATCAGCGTGCAGATGATCTGTAATGCCGACTGCCATATCCTTAAAGCTGTGGCCCACTGGCCAGGAGGCTCCCACGACTCATTTATTTTGCAAAACAGTACAGTGGGAATGCGTTTGGAGGCAGGGGCTGTGAGAAGTAGATGGCTTGTTGGTGAGCATCTTTTGTTCTAGTCTTTGATTTCAATTGTTTTAAGTTAGTATTTTCAGTAAGTCTCTATTCCGTTAATGTTAAAATGTTATATTGTTTGGGTGAACGGACATATGGCCTTAAAACAGCGGCGTAGAGCGCACTTTTGGTGTGCTTAAGGGCCGTTGGATGTGTTTGGATCAGACACGACCGGTGGCAAACTACTTTATACCCCTGAGAAGGTGTGCAAGATCATCCTGGCATGCTGTGTCCTCCACAATCTTACAATGACCCATGGCATTCCTGTAAGACCCGGCGCCATCGCTTCTAACAAACTGTGAAATTTACTACTTCTCTCCTCGCGTAACCGCTTCCTTCATTCATGAATCAACTCTAGGCAAGCGGTTTCCTTATATGGAGAAATGGGGGCGTGGTAGTATGCTGATTGCAGATCGCGGACACGCGCCTGTCAATTTAGAATGGTTCTGATTTACTAACATACGCACGGTGGTGAGAACAAAATTGGCCGGTACGCACGTGTCATGAATCCGACGGTGATTTTGTGCAAGTAGCCTCCTTATTTTTTGCGGAGAGTAAGAACATTTCTGTGCAGATATTAGTGAATGAGGCCCAGTGTGAGGACCAGATGGATACGTTTTGATTTTACACTATAGAACTGACTGAATTCATTTTCGTTGCAATGTCTTCCTACGATCGTTTTCTGTTTTCTCATATTTTGGGGATCAAAAGTTTGTGCTTTTCATTATTGCATCCCTCCAGAAGTGTAATATTTTCCTCCTCTGACCAGTATGGTTTTCTTGTCTTCCGTTCTTCTGCCATTTTTTCCACTATCTATAATCCAATTTTGTGAGATGATAACAGGCATCACAACTGTGAGTTCAAGCAAACAGATAATCTCCAAGGAAACTTTTACCGCTGTGAAATCTCTGTCAATGCAGTAAACGAGTTAACATTTTTCCTTAAACAAGGAAACCTTTTCAGGGATTCTGCATCTGTTAAGTCCCTAAACTAAGGAGGAATTAAGTGTCACACTTAATTGTGTAACTGGTCCCTGGATTCTACATTTCTTATAGAGCAACTCAATGATGTCTTTTGTTATTCAGCATTAATGCAATGTTGAAAAAAAAAGCCTCCTGTTATTGCACATCGAGAACGATCACACATTATTTAAAGATGGTTACCTTCACTTGTAACCTTGTAGCCAATGATAAATTTGCTCTTTTTGTTAACAAGTGAAACCACATCCAAATAAATGGTGCTCTAGTCTTAGGGGGTATCTGTTCTTTTACACCTTCATACCTTCCTGACATTTCATCAGAGTATACAGTATGGGGTGTTAATCATGTTAAAAAAAAAAGGAAAAAAAGGTAAAGCTTCTGGTGATAGAAGTCATAGTAGCATGTATGTCATTTTCTTGCCTACAGTGCTATGTGTCTAATATGCAATTAGCCTACTTAGACAAGTCTTGCTGGGCTTAAATTCATATGGCCCATAGAATAATGAATAGATAGGAAATAAACGCCCTCCCTGCTGGAGGACCTAGTGACACTCGTTGCACTGATAAACAATGCACTGAGCAGAGATGATGTGTTGAATGGCTAATAAACTGCTTTTGTGGTAGAAAGTCTCAAGACAAGGTTAAATGGCAATACTCCCAAACAGGGGAAGAGGCATTTTTACTCTTTAACTAGTCCTGTAACATTAACCACACCACATATAGTCAACATCTTTCTCAGTTCAGCTGCCTGTTCCACCAGTAAGTCCAGTTCAGACCAAAGATTCATGACAAGACGAAACTATTTCAGGATGTTGCAGAGAAAAGTTGCAGCTGTGTTAACTGGCCTGTCTCAGCTCCATTCAAGGTGGCTAATTGTGTCACTGAGAGTTAAGCCAGTCTCAGCTGGGTGCCTCGGATGTGAACTGTACCATTGCAAGACATTGCAAGGCCATTTAGTTGCAAATGGGTGCACATAGTTGCATGTCATTGCAAGGGGAATCTTTGGTCTGAAGGCTGCTTTAATCTGTCTCATTTACATCCCTGTGGCTGTTGACATGTATGTCAGTCTCCACCCTCACGGTGTGTCACTGTCGGACGGTTCTTTGCTGCTGCTGCTGGCTGTACATGCACACGTCACATACACGTACTCATTGACTGATTAGTCAGCGCTGGTTATTTAAATAATTGTGGCATTTTTATTTTGAATACCATCTGAAGCTCAGGTTGTTTTGTTTGTGTTTTCACCGTTTCATCACTACTAGAAATGCAACTGTAGCAAGTATCTCACTATCAATACCGTTCTTCTTATTCGCAGAAGCTACAAATGATATTCAGCTACGAACTAAACCTGAAAAGCTGGAAATTAGAACAGAAGAACAGAGTGTTGTTGCTATTGAGACTATCCACCGTCTCGTCTCATCTCGTCTCGTCGTGTTGGTGTAAACTGCCAGGTTTTCAGAACGTTGCAGATCGGGGCACTGCAAGTTTCAACTCATCTTGTTGCGAATCTTTGGTCTGTACTGAGCAGTAAAGACTGACCTCTGGTGGTGCGTGCTGTGCACTACAATACATTGCCTCAATACAGCACCTCCATATCAGTTTAACAGAAAGAGAAGCATCTACATTTAAGATAGTATTGAAAATAATACACTCTGGATTTCTAAATACCCCGGTGTATTACATGTATTACATCTTTAAACCTCTTAATATAACTGTGGCTCTTATTTAGATGTAACTACCACCAATTTTACCTCTACCACGGGTTTGTGGACAAAGTACAACTCCAAAGCAAACAGTTGTTACCATTTAGCTGCTCCCAATTAGAGCTTTAATGAAATGACATGAATATTATTAATCAGCCATGCCTTTCAAACTGAACATGCTCCAGTTTGTAACACAGGCTCTCTGTTACAAATCTGAAGTCTCTCAACCATTATCAACAGTGGAAATTTTCTCAGGCTTCCCAAAGCTTAAGACAGAATCACAGAAAATATTATACAACATTTTTCACAGGCTGAGCAGCACAGTCCGTGACCAGCAAATTGACTCTGACATGCTAAATAGATGGACTGCACCTCTGATTCCCATTCTAGATTACATTTCATGTCCCAGCAGTGACCCTAAACCACATGTAAAATGAATTCTGACCCTGAATTTTATATCAACACAGTGCCTCCGTGCCTTGCATTCTACTTCACATCCTGCATAACTTGACTATTCGCTCCAGTGCATCCTGACAAGACTATGGAGTCATAGTGTTGTTGACCTGACCTGTGGTGTTGAAACCAAACAGCAGTGGACAGGAGACGGTGAAAGCCAGGACCCACACAGTGGCAATCATCACAAAAACTCTCTTCCTGGAGCGATGGGTGGTGTTGTACAAGACAGGCATCACCACTGCTGTGTACCTGTAGAAACACACAAGTTAGAGTCTGTCCTGCTTTAACAATGTGCATACAGGGGACAGATGGTGACATATGAATGAAGACAAAAGTGCTGATATAGGAAAATAATTAGAGTGAGAAAAAGAGGGCCTCTGAAAAGAACTGGGCTTCAGGGATGCCAAGAAATGCACTGCTGAGAGAAAGTGGATATAAAGATCAACAATGGAGCAGCAAACCAGGCATTTCTATCTAAAACAAGTTGGGCATTCAGCAATACACCAAGTGGAGCTTTGATTTAAGTTAATCAGCACACTATACGCCAAGAATGTATAATGAGTCCGGGAAAACTAGGCTCAGAAGGAGCAGCAATTATGCTGGACCCCGACCCAAAATGGATGTGATGTTATGTTGTTTAGAGCCAGATAACTGCCATGATTGTTTATCCTCATCAGACTAATTACACTGGGTTCTTCTCTGGGCATAATGCAGGGCTAAACCCGGAGCACAGACGTTCACTAAAAATACTCTCCCCCCCCTGCCATGCTGCTGTCTGGTTAAATAAAAGCAGAGAGGGAAAAGTGGAGTAGGTAAAAAATGATGTACATGATTTATTGATCAAGTGCTGCTTTCAGTTACACTTCTAGTAGAGGATAAAAACAAGGCTCTTTGGCTCTGAGACGCTTCTTAAAACATGACCTTTGCTGTTTATCAAACACTTCACCTTGAAGTTTGATGCAAGAACTTCCTTCCTGGTGTATTTATGCTGCTTCCGAATAGCCTGGTTTGACTCTTCTTTCAACAAATCTTCCCCGCTATCACAGCAACCACTGTTACAAACTTATAAATAAACATTGCTGTCACAAAGGTAATGCGGGTGTGTTGAACACTATCAGTGACACAGAATGCCCCTGGTGCTTCGCTTTAATTTAGCACCTCACAGAGCGTATGATGCCGTGGTGTTGACGTGTCTAATAATCAATCACAGGGAACCACAGGGAACTTCATCTCTCAGAAGCAAATTATTCATTCGCACAAATGTATGTACCAGCAAGCGTGTAACCATGTAAAATTAAAGGTGGTGTAAGGGGGTTTGGCACGCTTTATTGTACATGACCACAGCCTGATTAACCTGTTAGGGGTCCCTGGGGCATCTGCACTGTGTATGTACCATGTGGCCTCTAAGTTCCAATTAAGACCCTATTCTGGCTGCTGGTTTTTATTTAGTGTATTAATTAACTTGTGGTAATTCTCTAGTTTTGGCCGTCGCTCTATCTTTGGAGCCAGAAGTGATTGTATTTGGATAGGAGGGTGGAGCTGTGGAAGAGCGAGGGGTGAATCTGACTGAGAACCCAAGGACACTGCTGTGGTAGTGACTTGTCAATCAAAAGGTAGCCATGCCCTGAACCAGTGGTTCCCAACTGGTGGGTTGCGGTCCAAAAGTGGGTCGCTGGTCCATTCCGAATGGACCGCAAGTGACTCGCGAACATGTCAAGTTTGTAAAAAAACACACCTTATTTTGAAGTGCAGTGAATTTCAGACACAAGCTTTTATTTTGAAGTGCCGTTTCCTGTGGTAGAGTGAGTAAATAACGGACAGATACTTGACAGAGACAGCAAACTAGCTCGACGACATGGCCAAATGTATGTATGACGCTTGAACTAATGATGAAAGTGCAATCTGGACCCCTCTGCTGGACCAGTTGGGAACCACTGCCCTAAACCATACCCTGCTTTACTCTAAAAGGAACCATAATTTAAAGAATGAACAATATGCTATGTTGAAAAAGGCATGAAACTAGAGATTGAGACCATAAACTCAAATGTTTAATGAGGTAATTAAGCAGACAAATTTTCTCACAGGCTTCTATACTATCAGATTTCTTTTGCAGTCCGTGGAGTCGCCCCTTGCAGGCCATTAGGAAGAATGCTAATTTAAGGCACTTACCGTTGGCTTAAAATTTCAGACCCCGAGATCACTCATTGCAAATTTGTCTCGTCGAAATAACATTAACGTTTTGAGGGAAATGTAGTGCCAAGCACATTACGTTTTCTACAGCACAGTGACACAGTGCACACTAGACGCATCAGGGAGTGCAGCTTGCTCTGCCAAACCTGTTGTGCATGATACAACACACAATTGAGTGTGAAAGGTTGGCTGTCATTATGTGTCACCTATGGGGTACACCCCGTCCAGGGTGTAATGGATGAATTATGATGTATTAAATATAATTTTTTAACAGGAGAATTCCTGGTTTAATAAGGCTTGGACCCCAAACTGTTGCTGTAGTTCAGGCTCGGGATGGGCTTGGAAAGGAACTGTGAAGGTTCAGTTAAGGTTGGGCCTAATTTTTTTTGGGCCAGATCAGAGCTCTAAACCAAAGTGCTTTTGTTGCTTAACCCCAAGACAAGAGTCTGAACATGAGCTCAAAGTTCTGGTGTCATGGTCGTGAAGGTTGCATGTCCACCATGCTCTCCATCAACCTCCTTCCCTGGGCTACGTAGCACACAAACGTAGAGTTTCATTATCTGACAGAAACATGTATAATCATGATCCACAACAATGCAATTAAGAAAGCAGTTTAGCAACATACAAATGAAATTTTTAAAAGACAGGGTTGCCTCTTGGCAATAACTGATTTAGCAGCAGAAACAAGTGAGCCCAACATTTAGCATCACCGTCTGGGCTAATATGGCAAAGTCATTAATTTGGAGTCGTCCAATACTCAGTCTCTTTTAGCTCTGTTTTTGGTCTCTACCATCTCCTGAGGGAAATATCCGTCACTCTAGCTTTTCAATCTTCCACTTTGTGTAACAGCTGACTGTTTGTCGTTTGGTGCTGAGCAGGTCATGTACAGCAAGGTTTTAGTGCTTTTTTTATACTGAAAACAACTGCCTGCTGCGGCTGAAAACAACACTGTGAGAGCGATCTCTGTAAAGCTGAGTGGAGCAGCAGAGTCATGTGATAATCATCTGTAGGTTCAACACTACGAGTGACCCCCTTTCACATGTTGTCACATTGTTTTCACATTGTCATTTGATAGATTATTATTATATACGCACCATGGGAGCACAAACTGGAATGATAGATGTTAAAACTAGATTCTGATCAGATAATAATGCAGGATCACGTTACTTGTTACTGTAGGTAAGAGGTGCAAATTTTATTACAAATTTGTGTGGTGAACTTGGGACTTTTGGGTTTCCTGATAGCTGTTGCCCAGTTAGAGACGCTTTTGTCCTGACAACACTATCTTACTGTATGAAAGCACCCATCGGAAAGTCTTACTAACTGCACAAATACATCCTCATGACACCTCTCGTCCCTATGTAGTACTTTATACAGTCTATGTAGTTGAACTCTTGATGCCTGTAGGTTGTAAGTTCAAAGGCTGCAGAGCTGATTAAATATTAAGAGACACCAGAAATAAAAGGAAATAAATAATTTAAATACAAGATGCACATCTACAGTAAAGGTTCAGACTGATGCACGGCACAGTTCCGCCTTTGTTAATGCAAACAAATGCACAGCAATTAGATGCGAACAGACCTGAATCTGAACCTGGAGCATCAAATCAAAACCACACGGAGCACAAAATCTCCTGATTTTTGTCTCCTCCTCGCTGTCTCTCATTCTCACTGGCACACACTGAGATACACACTGACGCACAGCTATCAAGAGGATATGAAGAGGACAGGAGAATATTGTTTTTCTCCATTAAGTTTTTAAATATCTCTGAGGTGAGGTGAAGAAAGAAACGAGACCTGGAAATCTCATATGCCTCTCATATGGATGACATTTATACAGGAGGTGTCACAGCAAATATTTGTAGTCGTACACAGTAACTGCATCAAGAAGAAAGACACACACACACACACACACACACACACACACACTGCACACTCACCTGTCAATGCTGATAGCACACAGGTTGAGGATACTGGCGGTGCACATCATCACATCTAGCGTGACAAAGATGTTACAGTAGAGCCGGCTGAAAAGCCAGGCACCGCCGACCACCTGCACAGGACAGACAGGCAGATTATCAACGCACACGTTTCTCTTTCCCTTCCTCACCGTGAAGCGTTACGCACCTATTGAGCACACACATGAATGCACACACTTGCACATGTGACAGAAAAACAAGGAAGAAGGAACACATGAAGACAGTTTGACCCCTGTTATAAGAAGGGATGCAGAAAAATAAGCTGCCAAAAATAAAAACATATTCACCCTGATATATTTAATTAAAGCAAATATGCTAATAGGGAAATTAATTAGGCTAATTTATGCATGAATTAAATATGTTTATGTCACTTATTCTCAGATAACGCAAGCTGCATATGTGTAGATATTCTGCGATAATAGCACCATGACGGATAACACACACAATGTTGATAAATCTAATTATCCTCAAGGAAATTTCCAATTTTCAAAGGACATTGACCCCCAGCTACACCAATGACACCCCAAACACCACCCTCCCCCCACCCCTCCACAACAGGCTTTCACTCAGGCTCCATAATGCCAGGTAATAACTGTCTGACAATGATGAATGGGATCCAAGCTCCATCGCCTGCCTGCTGAATCTCTTATATCCAAGATGGGAACATACGCCTACCTACACAGAGAGGCGGCACACACATGGGAATGTACACACGCACACACACATGTATGAAGATGTAAATAGAGAGTGATCTCTCTCGCGGGGACCAAAGTCATCACATATACACAGATACACGTTTATACACACCAGTGTAAAAACATTCACTGCTAACGTTTATTCCCAAACTTGACACAACACATATCCAGATCTTATAATTCTCATTGCATTTTAAAGGAGCATTCCCGAAATTTTACACATTAAAATCTGTTAACTTGGCATATGATTCAGCCTCGTTTGCTGCTTTGTACGTTTCTACAAACCACGGATATGTTACAATTGTATGTTTCATATGTATCACATCAACGTTTCTAAAGTGATGATATATATTGCCACGAAAAGTTGCACTATTTCAAGACATTGCTGTGTTTCCAGCAGCTTTTTAGCCACCAAACTTTCTTTTTTGTGACCCGTTGCTGTATTTCCACCACAAGTTGTTTTTTTAATGGGACATCGCTGCATTTCCTGCTGGGATAGTATCACAAAAAGCAGTTGTGTTTTTTACTGAGATATCGCTGCGTTTTCGGCAGCTTTTTAGCTACAAAATGGGGTTTGTTTTTTTGATGACCTGTTGATGTGTTTCCATCAGTAGCATCCCCTGCGTTGCGTGTTTGTTTTTTACCAAGACATTGCCCAAAAGGTTGTTTTCAGGGACACATTGCTGCATTTCCAGCAGCAACTGTAGCACAAAAAGCCACAGCGTGATCTTTTCCTAACCATTTGTGCCAAACTATAACCACGTGTTAACCACAGTGTTATTGAAACTTTCCACTACACAATAACATACAAATTTGGACATGGTTTGCAGACACATGGCAACATTTATTCAGACTGGGTTGAATATTTAGTTGCACAGCTTGTAAAAACAGTTGCATAATGTCTTCCACCAACTAGGGACACTGAGTTTGAAAGATAAGTTAAGTAGGCAAGGAGAGTGCAATCAAATGTACTATTCAAAGGCATTATGGGGAAAGTAGGAATGAGCATTTTTGGAGCTCCATACGATTCCAGAGCAGGTTAATGAATATATAGTGTTTTCACATGGGAGAAATGACAAAAGCACACAAACCAAATAAAGTAGCATACTAAGAAATGCTTGATTTATGAGTGTGCCATTGATGCACACTGTTGATTTGCAATGCACTGCACAAAGGAAATGGAGAAGCTGCTCACTGCTGCAAAAACTGAAATAAATTGCTGATGGGACAGAAAGATCTTAGAAACAAAAAAACTACAAAATGGAGTTTTTAACTGCAAAAACAGAATTCTATGACATTTAGTATGGTATGTACCGAGCTTGTAGTGTGGCGTTATGGCACAGCACAGAGAAAATGTCCTCTGTGTCTCCTCTTTTATCTCTGTGAGGACATTTGGTCTTCTCAAGTACAGAAATAACACCAATACAAACAATTTATGCACCGCGTGTACACAGTACCTGTTTGTATTCAGTCACCCCCTCACACAAAAAGACTGAGGCACACATGTGGGCACATATTGAACATTGTGTGCACAGTGTGGGAAAATGACGGTGACTCAGTGGGGCTCCGCAGACACCTCGCGTCGATTGTGTTTGAACGTATGTGATCTGTACTTTCACAGCAGTCAGTTGTGCTAAATGTCTCCGTAAAAGGACACAGCAGGAGGGGCAATTATTGAGACACTGGGACGGGAGATGGAGTATCTGTTAGAGGAATCTGTTTGTGTTTCTATTGTTTTTCATTAAGCACAAATAATAGAATCATATCACATTAATGTTACAATAAAATACCCTTTTGGAAATTATGTGAAACAGGTGCAGATGACAAAACCATTTTTGGAGGAACAAATTGACGAGCCAAGAATAGATCAACAGAGTATATATGCAGGAGTACGTTTGTCTCATTTAATCTTAGGGCTGGGTAATAAATAGATATTGCATCTATATTGTGATGAGACTTGATATTGTCTTAGATTTTAGATATTCTCAATCAACCTGTTTTCATTCCCAGGCTGTCAAATACACATGCTTCGTCACGGCCCTCTGCATCTGATAGTGACGCACAGCTGAAACACACTGTAACACGTGGTTAATGTCGTCAAGTGGTCGCAGATTGGTTTAGGCAACAAAACTTGGTGAGGTTTAGAAAAAAGATTATTTTAGGGGGTTAAAGTAAATATGTTTATTATGCAACGTAATATGAAGTAAGCGCGTCACGTGACTGATGTCATTGTGCAACGACTGTGTAAACTGAGTAACATTATATGAAAACAGCACTAACTGTCAGTTTCGCAAAGGACTTGAACTGCCCATCTGTTCTCACTCCCAGCTCGTCAAATACCGCCGTTTTTTCGGTGGACCTCAACGTCAGACACCAACATACCCAGGCACCCTTCGCGGCGATATGATACACAACAGGCAGTGGCAGTCTTTGACGCTGCTGGCAACCACTGTAGCATTAAGAGCGAGAAAGTCCATAGGGCGGGTGGGAGATGAGGACGATGGCTCAAACAAAGTCTGCACTTTCACACCGGAGACCACTATTCGTTTCCCATGTGAAACCACAAGTCAGTGGAGTTATTCTTATAAGAATGTGGCGTGCTAGTACGTGTAGCATGCTATGCTGTTGACATTTGTTACATGACGTTACATTACCTCAGTAACAACCATACTTATTTTAAGCTAAACCATGATGGTTTTTCTCAACACCTATAAATATGGTCTTTTGTTACCTAAACTTGAAAATACTTTACCTACGTTGTAAGTTCAATTTGAAAAAGACTGTATACATATATTGATCAGAAACTGTACATTTCCTGTGAAAACAGAAGTTCAGTTTAAAAAGATACAATCATAAATTGACAAGCCGTCCCTGAACGTCCAAAATTGATGCAGTGGGGTACCTATCACATCACAGCTGGACGTGTAGGTCCACTGACAAAGCGGTGGTATTTGATGAATTGGGATGAGAATGCGTCACAACTGTCTCCTGGGTGAAAGTCATGTTTTCTTTGACCAATCCACCTCATCCCCCTCACACCACGTCAGTTGCTCTCAGCGTTAAGACTTGCAGCGGATGGCTTTATATTGGAGCTACAGTACAGGCCAAAAGTTTGGACACACCTTCTCATTCAATGTGTTTTCTTTATTTTCATGACTATTTACATTGTAGATTCTCACTGAAGGCATCAAAACTATGAATGAACACATGTGGAGTTATGTACTTAACAAAAAAAGGTGAAATAACTGAAAACATGTTTTATATTCTAGTTTCTTCAAAATAGCCACCCTTTGCTCTGATTACTGCTTTGCACACTCTTGGCATTCTCTCCATGAGCTTCAAGAGGTAGTCACCTGAAATGGTTTTCCAACAGTCTTGAAGGAGTTCCCAGAGGTGTTTAGCACTTGTTGGCCCCTTTGCCTTCACTCTGCGGTCCAGCTCACCCCAAACCATCTCGATTGGGTTCAGGTCCGGTGACTGTGGAGGCCAGGTCATCTGCCGCAGCACTCCATCACTCTCCTTCTTGGTCAAATAGCCCTTACACAGCCTGGAGGTGTGTTTGGGGTCATTGTCCTGTTGAAAAATAAATGATCGTCCAACTAAACGCAAACCGGATGGGATGGCATGTCGCTGCAGGATGCTGTGGTAGCCATGCTGGTTCAGTGTGCCTTCAATTTTGAATAAATCCCCAACAGTGTCACCAGCAAAACACCCCCACACCATCACACCTCCTCCTCCATGCTTCACAGTGGGAACCAGGCATGTGGAATCCATCCGTTCACCTTTTCTGCGTCTCACAAAGACACGGCGGTTGGAACCAAAGATCTCAAATTTGGACTCATCAGACCAAAGCACAGATTTCCACTGGTCTAATGTCCATTCCTTGTGTTTCTTGGCCCAAACAAATCTCTTCTGCTTGTTGCCTCTCCTTAGCAGTGGTTTCCTAGCAGCTATTTGACCATGAAGGCCTGATTGGCGCAGTCTCCTCTTAACAGTTGTTCTAGAGATGGGTCTGCTGCTAGAACTCTGTGTGGCATTCATCTGGTCTCTGATCTGAGCTGCTGTTAACTTGCGATTTCTGAGGCTGGTGACTCGGATGAACTTATCCTCAGAAGCAGAGGTGACTCTTGGTCTTCCTTTCCTGGGTCGGTCCTCATGTGTGCCAGTTTCGTTGTAGCGCTTGATGGTTTTTGCGACTCCACTTGGGGACACATTTAAAGTTTTTGCAATTTTCCGGACTGACTGACCTTCATTTCTTAAAGTAATGATGGCCACTCGTTTTTCTTTAGTTAGCTGATTGGTTCTTGCCATAATATGAATTTTAACAGTTGTCCAATAGGGCTGTCGGCTGTGTATTAACCTGACTTCTGCACAACACA